AGGACTCTGGCTCTCTGCCCGGCCTCCCTAACTGTCAATATGTTATCTTCCTCCTTCCTCTAACACAGTGTTTAACCTACACTACCACAACCAGTAACGGCCCTGTTTCCCAAACAGTGCAAGTTAATCATTAAATTATTTGAAGTTGGATGGCCTTAATCATGTGATTTTACAGCAAGTTTTAGTTTTTTTTAAAAAAAGGAAATTTACCGGAATAAGAGAGAACTGACTTGATTGTTCAGTGAATAGTTAACTAGAAGTAAGAGAATGTATTGAGCATAATTGTCCAGGGGAATCATATCCGTTCTTTATCTCCTCTTTGATGTGAAAATACCAGACAATATGACGGCATATCTCAGCTGTTTGCTTGCATTGTCAGTTGTTTTGTCTATTCCTCAAGTCGTAATCTCGACTCTCCTGGCTGTTTTTCTGCTCTGGTTGATAATTGAATTTTATCAATCTCCCATCTTTCACTGAGACTCTCTGATTCCAGTGAAACTCCTCCTCACTTGGCTTCTGATGACAGTGTGATAACAAGGCTTCTGGTATTGTGTCTGCTCTTATTTTCATTTTTTTCACCATGCTAAGGAATGTTTGCTTATCAAATCCACCCAGATCCAGAGCTTTTAAAGGCTGAATTATGTAACTACAGTAATTAAATGGATGGCATGAATGATGGTCACGGTACATGTAAATTTCTCTTTCAAAGAAGGTTGTTTCACTTGCCTGCCTCACATACACCAAAGAGCTGTATCAAAGCAGACTTAAAGAATCCTTTGCAAGGACTGTGTAATTTTTTGCTTTTTTTGGGGGGGACTTTTTAGAGACTCTGGTGGAAAAATAGCTGGCTGCTATGATGTGCAGTCAATAATGGATCCATGAGTCTTCGACGCTAAGGGTCACTGTAATGAAGCCAGGCAAGGAGGGGAAGCAGGGAATGTGAGGGGTTAACTGGGGTGAGAGGGTCACAAGTTGAAGCTGGGAATGTTTTCCCTAGCCTGGCCTGCCACTGAAACAATCCTGTGTGCCACACAGTCCCCAGGAACAGATGTACCCAGAGCCGAGGCGAGAAACGTCTCCCTCCCTATGGTGTCTCTCATACCGTTTTAACACTGTCCCTGAAGCACAAGCAGACAGGAAGGGAGAAGATACTCGACATGGTATCGATGTTAGCCCAGCTGCGTGCCAAGGAATCCCACTGTCTCTCCTTAATAAAGTCTGATGTGTACTTTGATTTGAAAATTCTGTAACAAGACTCTCTGTGGCAGGATGTGTGTGCAGCTAAAAGCAGATCTTTCCAATGGCTTTATCATTCATTTAATTAACTCTCTTCCATCATTATTTCAACCCGTTTTCCACATAAACAGCCTGTCTGTCACAAACAATCTTCATGCACAGCTGGATGTTTCACAGTGGGAAGTTTAGGTCAAGTGGTGCAGTAGTTAAAGGGCTTCACAGCAGCCCTATCCCATTACATGGGCCAACAGCCATCAAACAGCAGCCCTCTGTTCGCTAACGTATAGCTTCAACTTTTCTCGGACCTGAACATACCGGGCTGGTGGTAGGGGGGTTGGTGCCACAGCAGGATGAGGGTTAAGTTCAATGCTGAACACAGCGGGAAGGAAATCCTGTCTGAGGGTCACTGGGGGTCGGTTCCTATCCTAAATCCTTAGTTTGGGGTTGTCAGATAAACTCTGACCTTGGACCTGACTTCTGAAGACAGACACCGAGCGCCTCACTGAATCCTGTATGTGCCTCCAGACCACTCTGAATGTTAAAATAAAACCACAAAAGCAGAAATCTCTGCAGTGCTCCTTAAATATCTAAAAAGTTTTCATCAATCATCACCCAGAGAACGCTCACACACACACACACACACACACACAAAACCTCATAACAACCACCCAAATATGAACCATGCACGGAGCGTCTGAGCAGACCAGACTTCACATCCCTCTCTGTTGACAATCAGTTTGGTTCACCAACATAAGAGTCTGGCTGTGATGCGGGCTGCAGTGAAACAGGATCCTGCAGGCAGAAACTCAAAGGGGAAAGAGTGAGAGACAGAAATGCAGACAGAGAGAGAGTGTGGAGGGACTCTACGATGCTCTGTCTCTGATCAACTTGACATGTGCGATTTGTGTCTACTCCACGTCTCTGTTGGAAACCCCATATGCCAATTTTTAACAGTGTTGTGAGGAGGAGTGGAAGACAGTCAATGGGAGGGAGTATAAAAAGGAGAAGATGGAGGAGAAAGTTTTGTCAACACAACAGTTAAGAAAGTGTTGATCAAAAACACACCAAAAGAAAAGTTATGTTATTAAATTTCAGCTGCAAAAAAACCCCCCACTGTGCCTTTAAAGCAAAGTCACATTTTTCTTGCTGTCACAGATATCCAAGCAAATTTCACAGCTCCACCACATCCAGCAGCAACATCTCATCACACTGTAAGTCCTCAAGAACCACACGGCTGTTCCAGATTCACACTTCCCCTCTGCTCTGGCAGCGTGAGGCCAGCCAGCCTGGCTTGTGTTCATATGGCAGCCCAACCAAATCATCTGCACAACTCCTGATCTGGTGCCTCAACCTGACACACTGGATCAGGTTAACCAAATGTGTGCGTGTATGTGTGTGTGTGTGCGCGCTAACAGAGAATCATGTGTCATCTCCTGGAAAGAGGGACGGAGGAGGGGGTTGGAGGAAGACAGTGAAGGAGACTGGGAATCTACACAGTGAAAAAGACTGAAAGACTAGAATAAGCTTTGTAAGAAAAGCTACAAGAATACATCCGCAGCTTCTCTCGTCGCTTCTTTGCCACTAAAATGTGATCACAGTCAATATTTGGTTAATGACCTTCACTGATATTTGAGGGTTAGGTCGATATGCTTTTGCTCTTTGTACTGACTTCAGCTCTTTCAGAAACCATATATGGAACGGAGGGCTTTTCTCTTTTTTCACTTTACTAGCGTGGGCCGAGGGAGTGAGCTCTAAAAATAAAACATATGTTCCTCCAGGTCTGTGGGAGCAGGGGCCCCCAGCGTATTGTTTTGGGATATGGGGGAGGACAGGGAGGATCTGGCCAAGGGAGAGATATTGAGAGAGAGAAGGAGGCTGCTGGAGCTTCAAAAAGAGAACTGAGGAAATATTCTCTCTTGCATACAAATAGATGGAAGATCCTTTGTTGTAAATAACTATAGAAGATTCAAATTAAGTCAATTAACTGCCTTTTTTTCGCCTGCAACCATTGGGCATTGAATGTAGGACAGTGTGTTTGCCTCAGAAGTGTCTGTCTGGGGTCAGTGGTCAGGCTTACTGTCCATAATGCAAAGGACACCATTATCTGAAAAGGTGCATCCATGACCCTTTTCAATAATTTACAAAGGCCCTAAGGGAAACAGTGGGGACAAGAGGTTAAAAGTATCTGAAGGAGTGGCGTGCTTATGATGCATGCAGCAAAAAAACTGCCCATCATGTGGACACACTGTTTTTAGAACTGAATCAAAGATTCATCAAACCAAAGTAGGTGCAGGAGGGCTTTTTTTTGGTGAGGAATGAGTTAAAGCCAGCTGACTTGAGATGTGTGGGGGGAGTCTGCACAGAGCAGAGAAGGGGAAATGAAGGGATATTAAGGGAGAAATAAGCATGAATGCCGAGGGGGCTGGCTATGTCACGTGTCTGGACTTAGCACCAGTCCTCCTACCTCCTACTGCTGCATCTTTGTGGAGTGTTTAGCAAAGTGGAAGAGGAAAGAGTGGGGGAGGACTGTGTATATGTGCGTGTGTGCAAAAGAAGCAAGAGAAAGAGGGTAAAATAAGAGAAGGAGTAAGATATCCGATTAAATCTGATCTGATTTCTTCTTCAAATAAAGTTTTTTTTTTTAAAGTCAGCCCCTGTCTGTGTAGATTTTCACTCACTCATGTCATGTTAATCCTACAAGTGTCTGTAAAAAGCAACTAGGTTTCTCTTTCAGGAGAAGTCCGGTTGCTTTTCATTGAAGCTCCGAGGTTTAAAGTTAGCCAGTAATGGTCTAATGTTACGTAGTACTAATGAAGTTTTCTTTGCTTTGGACAGGCAGAAGTGCTGTTGTAAACTGTAACACTCAAGGACCCTAATAATACAATCTGAATACTTATACCGATATCCAGGGGTACTTTGTTTGAGTATTCCCATTTTATGCCACTTTTTTAGTTAGACTTTTTTTTATTCTCCCAACTAAGTCTACTAAACAGATACTACTTACTGAAGATCAAGATTTTACATATAAATATTATATAGATGTTTATAACGCATTTGTGTAGATTAAACAAATCAGGACTAAACAAAAAAAGTTCAAATGAATTCAATCTCAAACAGTCATAACTCTGCTGTAAATGCATATTGAAAATAATGAGCCAAAAATATGAGAATTTAGCACTGACTGGGGACTTTCTATTCAGAATAATGAGTATTTCCACTTTTGATGTTATTGGATGTCATTTTAAGTAAATTTTGTGAGTAAAGTAGAAGTTAATACATCATTTATTAACTTATCATTAATGATACAAACAGGAGAAGCAAACTATTGAATAAAATGTCTAAGTTAATTTCACGTAAATGCTAATTAGATGTGTAGTTTTGACACATGTAACTTTATTACCATTTCAATTGTACAAAAGTAGAGGATATGGCATGAAATTTAAATTTCCAGCTATAATTTAATTCTAAAATGCCAGCCGAGTAAAACGCATGAATACTACAGATACCACAGAGATTCATCAGTGATTTAAAAAAAAAAAAAAAGCTGCTGCATACAAGTCTTTGTCAGAATATGACGGGACATGATTCGTATGATTTGATTACCGGACATGTGACGCTCTGACAGTGTGGAGGGGGCGTGTCCACTGGGCGTGTCATCCCGGGGAGTGTCTGCTTTCGGCCAATCAGCTGTTAGACCTGAGGTCAGTGGGCGTGGCCTCGCCTCCCACACTCTCCTGTCCCAGCTGCTGCACGCTTTTGTTCAAACTCAGAAGTCAGTGAGAGAGTTGGCTCCGTGCAGAGGTGCGCTTTCACGTCACTCACCAAATGTACATAGAAAACATCAGCAGAGTCTCTCCTGGCAGCTCATCTCGGGGTATTTTTGACCCTCGGTGCCACGCTGGGATACGAAATCACTTTTTTTGTTGCTCTTCATTCGCGTGAAGTTCAAACAGGGACAGCAAGGTGTCGTGGACGAAGCAGCTGGATCCCTGGAAGCGTGGGGAAGGATTTTTTTCTTGAACCGTTTCTCTTGTCGGTTGGGAGTTATGACTGCTGCCATGTACACTTACTAGTTTCATCTGACAGAAAGGAGAGAATAAAGCTCATGCTACCCACCATCCTCCTCCTCCTCGCTGGATATCTATGGAGAGGGTATGCTGTATGCTCTCACGCAGCACTTGGAGTTACTTTGCGGCCAAGGCAACACCGTGAATGTTAAATTTCACCGATCTGGAGAGCAGAAGACGATACACTTAACCTCATTTTGAATGCCTTTGCAAGGAGTTTGCTGGTTTCTGTGCTGCAGGCAGGGCTTCAGTTTGCTCGGACGGGACTATGGGGAGAAAGAAGAGGAAGAGTCTTTTGAATTGCGCAACAAGGAGGACTTGACTCCCAATGGACGGGTAAAACTCTCCACCTGCACTCACAGCTCCTGAGCATATACACATTTCAGAGCATAATTTTACAGAAATCACGTTTAAATTGTCAGAAGTAGCCTTCTTCAGGAGGTTAATGTCAGTATTGTGCAAACAGATGTTGTTATACATGTTGTTATGACAGTGATTGCTCTTGAAAGCTAAATATGGATTGCAACTTCAAGGTGTGATAAGAAAAGCAGCCTTTATTCTGAAGTAGTGAGTCCACATGTCAGGTAGTAACTTTGTAGGAATCATCGGTTTGTTCATTACTGATGCAGTTTGATGTTTTGGTTTGCATGATCTTGAAGGCTTTGGCAACGATGCGCAACCACACACACACACACACACACACACATGCTGTCTGATGCAAGCTGTTAAAGTCAGTGTGTTGAACTGGTCCTGTGTATTTGGCCTCCATCTGCTCAATTGCAAATAAGACTGTGGCCTTGTCTTCTCTGTAATGTTAGTCATCTGATCAGGCACAGAGAGTTCAGCATTGTCCACCCACTTGTGAGGGGGCATTGTTGCCTTGAATTGAGGTAGGCTCTTTCTTTATAACCCAACATGCAGCTCTTTATGTACAGTGTCTTAGAAAATCCAGCCTCAAAAATTTGTCAGAGCTTTTAAGGAGAAGTTTTTCATAATCTTTGGCTCCAGTGTAAGCAAATTCTGCATTGTGAGTTGTTTGGAATCATAGGTATAGGTATTTTATCCTGTTGAGATAAGGCTTATACCAGCAGTATGGCTTTGTAGATGAAAGTTCTACCACCTGGAGCCACCTACTTGCATATCCTGCTTATCTATTTATTGTCCCTTTGTGTGCTTGCAACCAACCAGTACAGTGCTGCAGCCATTTGCATGAAAAAACGATGGCAACAGATAAGTTTTACACAGTTACTGGCTTAACAGAAGTCTAACAGTACCGACAACCACCAGATAAGAGCAACATCTGTTGCTCAGGGTTATCCAGAGAGGTGTTGGTGTGTAACACACCCTATCTCGGTCATAATGTACCATCTGGCCGGCAATTGGTGGTCAAAGGAATCCAACTGTTCTCCGTGACTGCAATCAATACAAGATCAGAGTAACATGTCCCAATGGAGATGCCTGATGGCCTTCTAACGTGAGACACACATCTTTTTTTTTTCCGTAGCTTTCTCGCATCCCTTATTGAGATGCAACCTATGCTGTGTGTTCAGAAGCGTGCTCATCTGGTTGTCTTCGGTTAATTGTACACTATTTGAAAAAGAATGGACATTATGAGATGACCTTAACTGAATGACTGAATTGTGGTATTTCTTTAAAGGATGAACAGTGTCAAAAAAAGTAGCCCAACAAGTTCCTTCAATTTTTTTGGATAACATCATGTCAACAGTAGAAGTCTGATATGAGCAAATGTATGCCCAAATACTAACTGGACAAGGGAAATTTGGTTTAATATAGCTGTAATAAAGTCTTAATGATGCTTTGTGTTGTTAGTCAACAGTTATCAGTCATTGCATGTCAGGCCAAGCCCATTGAATGCAGTGCTGTCAATCTCAATCATATAATCAGAGAAGAAAAAGGGCTGATTTATTGGAATATATAAAAAACAACATTTTGACCATGGAAGTCACACAAATGATACCAAAGGTAGTCCAAATTATCACAGTGCCCCCCCAAAATAGTTTTTTCCCACTGCATTAGATGAAAATGAACCCCACACTGAGAATAGCACTGCTGCATAATAAAAGACCAGCTCAGAAAAAAATCTGATAGAAATGGCTTTATTATATATTGCAAAGCAAAACTGTCTATTGTGAAGCTCATAATGCTTCTTTGTCTTTAGAGCCGCTTTGTCCCCCTGGCGTGATGTTACATTACTGATTAGAGTGTTGGCTCTATCGATTAAAGCTCGTAAATATTGCTAAATATGAACTCACTTGTCCTGAGCCATAAAATATTGGTCTGCCTCTATCAGTCTGTGTGATATGCAACATTGTGTCTTAATTTATCATGTGGTTAGGCTTGTTCATTTTTCTCAGATTACTCCTCAGTGGAAGGAACCACGTTATTGACTGTGGTAATTGACAGTGTTTTATCAAGTAACCAAAGGCAGTAAACTATTTTTTGGGCTAAGCAGGCCTGTTTTATTATAATAAATCTACAGAGGTTTTATGGAGTTATTGGTTATTGATTCCTTCATGCTTGCAGGCGATCAATCCACTCCAGCAAATCTTGTTTTCTTTCGATTTGTGTTACTGAGTTGTGCTGGAAATCTGTATCAATAGTTCACCCTGAGCCAATAATTAGGACCACAGTTGCACCACTCTAAGCCAATAGCGTCAGCTGACCCTCCCCTCAGAACACACAGATCTAGCAGATACTGTTTGGTTTGCCGTGGTGTCAACAGAGGGGGTGGAGATGATCTGCAGTGATTCCCAGGGAAAGCCCCTCAGGGCTACGTTCCATCGTTTACCCAGAGAGCTCCAAGTCATCCAGCGCTTGACAAGTCACATTTTCAGACAGCAGGTCAGACCTCCCTGGCTGCATCTGTGTGTGTGTATGTGTGTGTGTCCGTTGGGCTTAGAAATACTCCATTTACTAGGCCTCTGTCCAGCTCCTGCCAGGGATGACCACAGAAACCCACAGGTCTAGTGGAGTCTCCCTCCACAAGACATCCAAAATCCTCCCCACGATCTTCCGCGTTGTTTTCCGACGTGCTGCCAAGAGCTTCGCCATGATGTGTAGCATCCACAGAACCAAAGCCATAGGCGACACACTGTCCACTGCCAGCGCTCTTCATACTGAGGTTGGAATCATGAGTCAGTGCTGATGCTTGTGTAGGCTTGGCCCTTCAGAGCACAGGGCCATGTCAGAACCTTTTCACTTCATGTTTACAGTCCTCATTGAAAGAAACTGCTCTTCAACAGCTGCCCAAACAGTCACACTGAGCTGAATGCCTCCAGTGTTGGGACAGCTAGGCACTAATTTTAGGACAGGACATCCGTCATTCTCTCTTCTTTCCATGTTTCCACTGAAACCTTTATTCAGTTTTTATGTAATGTGAAGTCACGTTTACCAATAAACTACCACCGCAGAGTGTTTTGGCCCGGCCAGTTGTAAGTGTGGACCGGAGCACCGCAGTGCATCCTGTTGCTTGGAACAAACAGGCACAGTCCGGCTCTGCTGAGAGTGGGGCCAATTAACCATCGCTGCTGCCCTCTGCCTTCGGAGGTGTCACGGTACGCTGGTTTATATTTGGTTTCCGTTGCGTCTCTGCCTCACCACCTCCAGGCCACACATCTGGTCTTCAGGCCGACACTGGCTGAGCCCAAGCATTTCCTCCTGGTTACTCAGCCTCCCAGGAGAGCTGAAGGGAGAGAGAGAGAGAGAGAGAGAGAGAGAGAAAGAGAATAGACGAGGGAAAGCGAGAGCGGAAGTCAGCCACGGAACGAACACATCATGGCATCTTTCCTTCTTTCCCTCCATGCTCTGCTCTAGTCTGGAGTGATTCATCCCCTGCCCGTCCAAAGAGAGATCTTTTGCCAGGGCTCTGCATCGCACGCTATCCTCGTTCCTCATCCCACAGCCCATTAACTCTATTGGACAGCTACTTTTCTGTAAATTGTTACGTTTTTGTGGAAAATTACTCCAAATATTCAGACTTCGCCTACCTATCCCATTAGTTTATTGATCATCTGAGCAGTGTATATTATGAAACTATGGCTTTTCCATGTGATTAGTGTTGATTTCTTGTTTTCAGTCATGGCTGCCTGGCTGAATTTTCTTCTCCTGGGCTGTTGGCTTGACTAAATCATTTACTGTATGGTTATGGGCAGTGGTAGGGAATTACCATACACACTCTCTTCCATTCATAAGTCACTCTCTGACACTGTTCAGTTATTCTTGCCTGTCTGGTTTGACATTTACAGTACCTCCCCTGAGTTAAACATCAATGAAGTTTCATTATCCAAGCCCTAATCTTTTCCTCGTTTTCCTCGGAGTCCATCTGCCTTATAAATATAACACAGATTCCATACTAGCCTATAAATTTACAGTTCATGTTTTCTTTATTATTTTTGAGCCATCTAAAAAGAAGCAGAGGACTGTTTTTGTGGGGCAACGGCTATACTTAGGATAGTTTGTCCAGTAGTAAAGTGTGGTGTGTGAACTGTGAGGGGCCCAGAGCTGACCTGGATAGTGTTTCAGGTAGGCCAACACCCTTGAATTGGGCCGGGCAGCCACAGGAGCTGGCTCAAGGCTGTGGTTCGCAGAGACAACAAGTCAGGCCACGGCGACACACAGTGCCGCTCTGCACACCGGGGAATCGGTCCAAATTGCACACAGGCGAGCTCTGATGTCTGATGGGGTTTTCCAAGGTCAGGTTGGGAATTTAGGGGGCTGGAGGACTGTGAAAGGAAACATCCTCTCCCATCTTCTGCTTAATAGGGGAGTCCTTCGATGAAAAGTTCATTGTTTCCCCTGTGTAATTTGATAACTTCTCTAGTATGAACTTGTACTGAAGGTTTGTGGCCATGTTCATCAGCGTTTCACCATACACTTACAGACAGAAAAGAGGAAGGCAACAGGTGAAATCTTACAAACTAGGCTTATTTTTAGGTTAGAGAAATGACTGATCTGAATAAAAAACATTTTGGGGTGTGATGGTCGGGGTAGTTTTCGCACAAAAGATTCTCTGTTCTCATCTCTCATATTAAATTAGCCTGTTTTACATGCCATATTTCTCCCCACCAGCCTACCCCTTGCAAGTGAAAGCCAAGCATTACAGGAACAGTGCAGCTATGTGCTGAGGCTGCCAGCACCGACTGCGAGCTCTACTGTAACATGGCCACTGAAGGCACACCATTGAAGAGATCACTTCAACCTGTGGGCCAGTTCTAAGGACAGGCTACTGTTTGTGTTGCATTATCATCTATTTACCCTTTTTCTCTCTCTCTTCTGTTGACAGACTCCAGCTGAGGTGACTGTTTCTCAGCCAACTCGCACAGCCAATGGAACAAATGGGTAAGGAGAGAGAGAGAGAAACATTTTTTTCCCCCCAAATTTTAGGAAGTGATAGTTCCTTCTTTTACTTGTATACTTCCCCTGAGTGCTTGGGATTTCTGTATTTATCCTCGGGCGGGCACATGTGTAAGTACTTGATTTTTCACTTCCTCTGCTGTATCTCGTGGAGCTCTCCTCATGTGAATGCATGCAAGTAGTATACAGTCACATGCATATTGACAGACGGTCCGACATCGATTGTTTGCGGATAACGTGGCTGTCTGTGTCGTGTTTTCACGCTTTAAACTCTTGACTGAGTTTTGCCGCTCAGAATTTAGCTCCACTGTCATCTGGAGATGAATTTGCTAATAATACGTCAATCTTCAGCCTTGGTGATTGCTCCCACTCACACTTGAAATGTCAGGTTAACTCTATCCAGCTTCCTTATCGACAAATCCAATTACTTTGTTAGTTTCAAGGCTCAATCGGTTAGTCACAAGGTGCCAGTACGCGTCTTGCAAATAATGAAATTCAAATGGTCATGTGGTTTACAAGTGAATGCTGGTGACAATGAAAAGGAGTGATTCATAGAGGGCTTGAACCAGACTATTAGTGCATGGCTGTGATCTCAGACAGTGATGTAGCCAGGCTCTGCTCCACTCTATCTCTGGCATCGTGCCCTTATCATCCCCCCCACCCCTGTTCCCTCATCCACAATCTCTACTGTACATCTGCCGACTCACAGGCAATGAGTCACAAAGCTCGACTTGTAGGACTATCGTGCACCACAAATGAATAGACGAGGGTCCGCAACAGCTCTCAACAAGAATAGAGCTGCCTCGTGAAAAGTGGGTAGGTGAACCGAAACAGATACATTTTGCTGCAGTCATACAGGATGTGCTGTCTCTTGAGGCTTAAAGGAAAGAAGGAAAGAAGTGGGGACTGGACTGGGTGACTCAGTTCTACCTCAACAGCACTCCCAGAAGAGGTGTGGCTCAGATGTGTGTGTGTGTGTGTGTGTGTGTGTGTGTGTGTGCCACTTCTACAGTATAGTGGAGGTGGCCTCAGGCCACATGGCATAATTAACTACTGGTTTTGAAGGGAGTGTGTTAAGAGCCTGGCTGTAATCATCACACTGAGCGCAGAGATTAGAGAGCGTAGTGCTTGGTCATTACCTGGCCAATGAGTGGACACACCCAGAAGTTTAGCTGTATGGAGAGAAAGCCAGCCTCTGATAAGTCAGCACCCTGTGATGTAGGAAATGGTGCCATATCCATTCAGTCTTACGAAACAGGAAAGACAGCTCTGGTTTACTATGTACTTTTACCCAACAATTGAACTGAATAGTCTAGATGGAGACATTAATCTAAACTATTGGATTGAATTACAGCTGAGATGAGATGGCAATGAACTAAGGGGATTTATGATACAGCAATGCTCAGATAATTAGTCACACTGCAGGCCTGATGTGGTTAGGAAGTGGAAACAGAGCTGTGGTACAGAGACGTGTCTGAATGTAGTGGGCCATGTCAAGGGGCTATGGATATAATGGTGCTATCTGTTTCGCCAATTCGTATCTGCTAAAACTGCTTGCAAATATACAGTTATAGGCAGTCTATTTTGAGAATGCGATTAGTGTATTTATGTATAATGCATGTAAGTCTTGTACCAGAATATCTATTACACAAACATAGCTGCAGACTTACACTTTAGTGCTCTCAAAACTGGCCAAAAAAAAAAATGACGCTTTATTTTTTTTCTTCTAAAAGAACTCATAGGGTTGACTCATTTACATATCTGGTGTCCATAAGAGGTCAAACCAATACAGCTAGAGACATAAATAATTTTTGCGATGAGCCCTCAGATCGCTAATGCTGGAATGATAGGCTACTTGAAGCTTACTCAGCTTGCATATAACTTTATCTTGAGGTGCTAATATTTTGCCATCTGACCAAAATCCGGGCTTTTTAGATGACTTGGTGTGCACATCAGTCTCTCTGCAGGCAGGTTGGGCTGCAAACTCTGTGCTATCATTACCCCACAGTTGTTGAATTTTTCGGTCCGCTCAGCGTGACCTACATTTCAGTTTCAATCAATGAAAGTGACTTTGTGTGACTCCTGTCCGTCATGCAGTGCATTCAGTGCAGTGGCTCAGGCCCTGCAGACAGCTGTTTTTGTGCTGTCTTTTTTTTTTTCTTCTTCTCTATACCAGAAATTTCACAACTGAATGTCTGTTTTTTCCCTTATAATTTGTTGACAGTCCTGCTCATTGACACAAAGTCATGAAAATGTCACTAAAAACATATAACACAGAACAGACTGGATTAGATTTTCAGCTGTGTGCAATACAGAAATGAGAAGTTCTTGGTGATTTTGTGCACAATTTTAAAGCATGCACATTTATTGACAAATTTTTAATGATAGTGATAATTGACTTTTTTGTTGCAGTGTTTTACTGCACTGTCACTTTGACATGGAAGCTGACTAATGCTGCAACTATTGTTTTGTTTTTTTTTTTTAAATATTTGATTATTCTGCTAGTGATTTGTTCAGTTAATCATAAAAAAAGACCTTTTGATGACTTCTCAAAGCCATGTGTGACATCTGCAAACGCCTGCAAAATCACAAAGCTTTACTGTCACATATGAAAGAAAAAGAATTCAGTAAACCAGCAGACTACAGAACATGAAAAACGGAAACTGTGTTAGATTTTTCCACTACTTTTTTGCTTGAAAAATGACTGAAACACTTAATGAATAATTCAAAAAGCCTGATTAATTGATTCATTCTTTCAGCTCTAACCCTGACATGGTTCGTCAGGCACATATTCTGTTGGAAATGCCACAACTCAGTGCTATATCAAACAGTCTATAATGTTTCAACTTCAAAAATGAAAGCATTGATCTTTATGCTGATTGACTGAGCTGAGTTATCAAGTGGTGATATTAGCTGGCATGATGCAGGATAAAGTTGTCGTGTTTTTGCGCTGACCTCTGTCAGTCGCCGGCTTCTTACTCAAGGTGTGGGTGATGGATGTCTCTGCAGGCGGACAGTGCAGAGTCTCTCCCGTCAGTCTTTCAGTCAGCAGAAAGTGTTGAGCAGCTCGCTCCCTCCTGCTGTGCTCACCTTCAAGTCTGTCTTACATCATCACTCTTTTTTTTTAACCTCACTTTCTTCACTCTTCAGTTCCTTCTCGTAGCCAGGGCAGGGCCGAGTACAAACTGTACCGAAGAGAATGTGGACACTTGAGCACTTTATCTGCCTTTCTCACCATTTGTTCCATCTGCTTTGTCATTGCCTCCCTCCCTTCTCTTCATTGACAGCTCTTGGCAGTCCAGAGTTTGACATTTTTTTAAAACATTTTTTTGATGTGGGCTACTAGGCAGTAATGGCTGAAAGAGAACACTGTTCAGGAATGCATTTCATGTGTGTGAATGTATGTATGTGCATGAAACAAGCGGTTGTTTGCGCGAAGAGCTTAGAAGTGGGCCCCTGGTAATTGCCTGTCTGGATGTCTGTCGTCCTGTCTGTCAACCATCCAACCCTCACAAACTGTCCCCCGTTTACAGCATCAGCAAACATAAAACGTTTTAATTCACATCACGACGTTTCGCAATCAGAATGACTTCATTGAAACTAAAAAGTCACTTATTCTGTATCGTAAAATATCTTGCTGACAACACACACTTCTTCAGTCACAAACTCAGACTTCCTGTCACACACCCCTCCTCCTCTGGTCTCAAAACATGACTTTTTTCCTCTCCCCTCTGCCTAGTCCAGAGTTTCTTGGCAGTGGTCTTGAGTAAACAGTGTATTTTTAGCTGGGAGGTCATATAGGCCCAGTCTTAATCACCACATTCCCATTTTCCCACCAGCCCAGTTTCAGCCAGAGGCCCATGCAGCCAGCCCATGCACTGTGGGGGAGGGGATAGAGACCGGGAAAGAGAAAGAGATGGATTTTTACAAAGAGGTTCTGCGATTATTTAGTGCTACAGTACGATCTACTGTATTTTAATGAACATAGTGCTCTTTATCCATGATGCTTTTTTCTCAAACCAGTCTCTTATTGCATTAATGTCATTTGTGTACAGTGTACGAGCCGCAATGGAGCAAGACATCAACAAAAAGCCATCTGCTTTACTGTAATTTCTCTGAATGCCTTTTCAGGCCCATCTGAGCTTTTCACCCATCAGACAAGTATTCCTGTGACACATGTGCACAAGGGTCATTTTTGCAACTGTTCTTGTGGTTACAAGGACTGACTTTGTATGCTGGGACATGTTTCCACTGCGGTCATTCAAGCCTGAGAGCAAGGACACTAGTTTTCTAACTTTAATTAATGTCTCAGCATTGTGATTAGACCCCAGACTGAAATCAATTACTCATTGCTCCAGCAGCTACCACCAGACAGGCGGTCGACTCATTGTGCTGCTCACACTACTGGATTTAAGTGTGTCACTATCGGTGTGACTGTGAAAAGTCTGCCGGCAGCGTGTTCATTAGCTGTAACGACCTTTTGCAGTATGTAGGAGCAGTGTATATGCTGTTGATCTGAGTCGGTCGATAATCTTATAGTGTAATTAAATGCATTCACTCGTGTCTATAGAGTGGAAAGAGCAATAAAAACATCTCTGTATTATACTGTTATACAACTGAGCGCTGCAACAATGAAGCGACTACACTTTTTAAAATAACTGAAGGGACCTATTTCTATCACTTATTTAAATGCTTGGTTGCAAGATTTAAAAAACATAAATCTATTTCCATGATTTAGATAATCCTTTTAAGTTGCAAACATTGTTTTGATGGCTTTGTTTGACATAATAATGCCGGTTATTGCATCAGCTTAATATTTTGTGTCATTTAAACTGAAATTTCTGTGATAATAGCTTAATTTTCTTTATCTTTAGGATTTCAAGTCCCCTCCTTAATCTTACCGTACCTGAAAAGTTGAGACTGGTAGTTAAAAACATCTTATCTTGAGGAAAAACATACTCTCCTAGCTTAATGTAATATGTTGG